TATATATATATATATATATATAACGTAAACGTGTTTAATTCTGTTCATATTGATTCGGAATCAAGGAATATACAAGTCTCTTTTGTAGAGAAACCACAAATGAAAATACTCAGTTTTCAAAAACCAAATATGGAATATTGTTAACGAAACTTGAACAGACAAATCTTATTAAGGTACCATTGTGAATCAGGTACATGCCAGCCACTCTAATAAAGGAAATTATGTTAACAGTATTTGTATGTACTAATTGATTTTAATTTTCCACTATCGATTTTTTTATCAATTAGTTAAAACCGATTACTGTTGAAAATGTTCTAATCGGTATATATATTATACCGTTGGCCGGGAATTGCAAAATAATGGCAATCTTATACACTTAAAGGGAGTGACCGGCTATAAACGGAGTATGCAGTGTTGTTGTTGTGGACAAATTCTTTAGGATTCATTTGAGTAATTATACATAGTGGAAACTTTTTATATGCCTCAATTGAATCCTAAATAATTTGTTCACAACACTGCATACTCAGTTTAACTACCTTACATAGCCGGTCTGTCCCTTAAAACAGTTTACGTAAAACTTTTTAAAAAGTCCCTTTAAGATTTGGTCAGAGAAATATTCACAAATTATTATTGCAATATTCAAAATATGTATAACATCAATTTTTTAATAATTTAATTAAATGACACATCAAAAATTTGCATATTTAACATTGAATATGCAATTCACAATTGCTTGGAAATATTTTTTTTAATTCATGTTATTTGTTGAAATTTTAAACATCCTCTTCAAGACCATGTTGAACTGCAGGTGCTGGTTTAGGGGTATGGGGGGGGGGGGTTGACATACAAAAAACCGCGCCGCTTATAAACCAGCTTTAAAGGGACTGTCCGTGATTTGAAATAACCTTCCATGAACACATTGAATATTTTCTTTTTCTGTTTCTATATAAAAAATGACTGGTTGGTATCAAAAACAATGAAGGAAGTTGTAAGAATTGATCAATTTTCCAATTGAATAAAACGAATATTTATTTTATTATTATTATTATTAACCCGATCAAGGGTTTATGGGTACATATCTCTACTAACATAAAGGGTTTCTATAGATTATGTTAACAGTCCCTTTAAGAGATTTCAACGTTTGATATTTGGTAATAAACCGGTGCATTTAGCGCTCGAAACTAGTTCCTATGGATCAGCTGATCCCTCCATAGCGCTACATAGCAACCATTCATATATTGGAGTTCGGCAGTTTTTCATCAACCAGGATGTCCCAATAAACAATGGGAATTTTGTACTTGAAAATCGGTTTTTTTTTATTTCCAATAATTGATAAATGACAAAAAGTGTGTAAAAAAACTTGTCACTTAATTCCCATGTTAATTGGGATGTAGAAAGAAAAAAATTAGCCCCCTGGACAAACTCCTGTTTTCGCCCCTGTTTCTTCCAATCTTAATTTATACGGAAGGAAGTTTAATTTTGACAAAATTATGTCATTTTAACATTTGCCCTTGTTTTTGACCTGTAAATGTCTCTTGTAAATAAATATAGTAAAGTATTTCATACAGATATGTTCATTTTTCCAAATTCTTTTTCTCACTTACCTCTTTTTAACTTTTACTTTCATAGACAAACTAATTTTAGATTGAGTTATCTTGGTTACCTGATGGTTTAAACCTAATTGATGATGATATTTTAAACTTTGTTCATTAGATCTAGCAGAAATCATAGATTTAAACTTCAAAACTGTTTAAACATCAGGTTGTAAAGATGTAAGGATTAGAAAATATAGATTGAAACGAGTAAACAGATTACAATTATTTTATAAACCAGATAAAGAAAATATCTAGATAAAGAAAATATATATCATTTTTTGTGTCATTAGATTTCACGTTTTGAAATCAATTTTGGGCTAAAGAGAAAATTATTCATAAAAAGTATTATGTTTATTATTATTATTATTATTATTATTTTATCCTTTTATATCTTAAGATATTTATTTTACTTATTAATATTATTATTATTATTATTAATATTATGATTATATATGTACCATTAGTATTATCAGTATTTCATTTTTTTTGGAAGAAATCGATTCTCAAATCTTTTAAATGATCATTGATCATGCATGTTTTAATAATTTTCGCAAATTATTTAGAATAGTTTTATAAGGATGCTATGTGCAGGAGGGGGGGGGGGAGCGCACCACTAGTAGAGTTGGAATCAGTCAGGATCTGACTGCCAAGGAGATAACATCTCGGAGCGCTGGATCCACTGAAATATCAAGTTTGAACCAAAGGGTGACTTACAATTGTGAAATACATGTGAACCGTCGTACATATTTAATCAAAGTAAGTTTTTAATCTAACAAAATATATCTTATATACTTTGAACAAATGAAAAAACGCATTTTTTTCAATTTTACATAGGAAAAGTATAATAATTTAGACTTTTTAAGTTTTAAGTTTTAAAACTATTTAGAATATGGGTTTGATATTTTTTCTCCAAAATTTAGGTTTTTTGTATTTTAAAAAAGGCCTAAAACAGAAAAATAGAGTTAAGGAGTAAAAATTAGAATAATTTTTTAAGAATAATGAATGCCGGATACTAATTCAATATCTAAATCGCCGAAGGTCACTAGTTTATAGATTTTGTGAATATTTTCTCCACCTTCTCCTCCCTGAACTCGTGTTAGATCAAAAATTACATTTTTTCCAAAATATAGAAGTATTTCGAGATAAGGAAAATTTTGTTAAAATTTGAGAACTTAATTTTAGGGTGATTTCCTGAACATAACTCATTGTTTAGACAAATTGTACAAATTTTGTCATTAGAGGCAATGCAATAATCACTTAAAAGCTTTGTCTGACCAAGCATGAAAATATATAGGAATTTTCAAAAAAACAATTGAACACTTTTAAACCTAAAAAAACGACAACATCTTTCACATTTTTCATCAAATAGAGGTTTCAAGGGATCCATTGTGAAACTTTGGAGGGTCAATTACGCTGACAGTTCCTTAAAATGGTTTCAAATGGTTCTAAAATTGTTTCAAATGGTTCTAAAAAACTTATGTCTTTGTATTTGAAAATTTTTTGTCCGGGGAAATTTATCGACATTTTGATTTTTAGTAGTGTTGTAAATGTTGCAATGAATACGTCTGAAAAATGCAACATCCGGATAGAATAAAATCAAACCTACTTTCTGCAGCTGTATGTCAAAACATGCCCATATATAGGTCTAAACTAAACTAGATATTTGCTATTTGACGCTATTATCATAATTGATAATGTTATAATTAAGAACAAGACGCGAAATGCTAACAACGCCACTGTGTTTCATGAAAGGTTCATATAACATTTTAGATGCATTAATATCTTCTTAGCGGAGAATGATCATTTTATAGGCTTTGTTCAGAAGCGTACATGGGGGGGGGGCTATGGGGGTTGAGCCTCCCCTTTTGTCAGTAAACTCTACGGTTTCTACGGGGTTTTCAGGCCCTAACGGGAATTGAGTCCCTTGAAAGAAGGAAATTAAACCCCCTGACAAATTCCTGCGTACGCCCTACGTTTTGTTAGATGAGATCAAATATTAAATCAACGAAATTAATCAAAATCGAAATTATTTAAATCAGATCTGTATATTTAAAAGTTTTCAACTTTGAGCATCAGTTGATCTCATTGTATCCTTGTTTTTCTGGTTAAAACATAGATAAAGATAGATTGCCCATAAGACCACATTTTTTATCTTGAAAGATATAAATATACAGAGATGTTTTAAAGATATTCCTATTATATAAATTAACTAGGTCGGTTGTGAACATTGTCTGTTCTTATGTCATTGAGTACTTGTGGTATACATGAGTTCTGTAAAAAGAAATTTAAGTTAGTTTAGTCCTTCTCATGTCCTTCTTCAATTCTCGTCAATATGATATTCTGCTCTGTGAAATAATTTGATATTCTCAAAATGAAATTTTTAATAATTATGAAATTCATTAAAACACCAAACCCGCTTATCATTGAAGTACACTTTGACCCCTAGAAGTATGAGTTCGCGGACTGTACAATTCTTGGTGATTTTGCGTACATAAGCTATCTATGTTTGTTTATTTATCTATGGGTTAAAAGTGTTATGGTGTTATAGAGTAGGAGTGGGACGGTGCTTCCCATCCCTGCCGGCGGTCTGGGGGGTTCATAACGGGACCTCTTTCAGATTTCTTTTCCTTATAGTTCCTTATAGAGATAAAAGAACACGCTTCCTGAAACTGATTTAGATTACAGTTTTTTGGATTAATAAATTCAAAAGATTCCAACCTAGTTTGATAAATAAACAAATTCCAAAATCTCTTATTTTTGTAAAATAAAATGCGCGAATATCAAAAATAGATATTTATCAAACGTATATTTGTATATTGCATTCTGTGTACTTAGAAAATTGTGAAATGCATGCGAATGCATGACTAAACGTCAGGGTTCCATTTTTTCATGATCGTTTCATTCTTTCATGATAGGAACCATTCCCGTTCCAAGAATAATCATAAAGGGGGGGGGGGGGGGACCGGGCAGGTATCAAGAGGAAGGAGATGATGTATGAGGGGCCGGGGTGTATGAAGGGGGGGAGGCGATCTGTGTTTGAAATTTTGATTTGATAGATTATGAAATCATATCAAAATTGATGTACACAAAACTTTTTGGTTTGTTAGTGATAAATTTCTAGCTCTTGTCTATTCTTCATACTTTTCTTATTTTTTATAAAATACCAGATATAGTGCCCGGCGTTGCCCGTGAAACTTTTTTTTGATTTTTGAAGAAAAAAATTTTTTATTAGCCTATATTAACCCCTGGGTACTCAAGGGTTCCCGCAAAAAATTTCAGCCCATTCAGTCCAGCCGTTTGGTCAGCTATAGGCTAGCATGTATACATACAAATATATATGAGCGAAGAGCTTTAATATATAGATTTATTCCAACTTTTCTAAATATTTGTCGCAAAATGCCAGTCCTTCCAAATCAATCTTAATTACAGAAAAAGCACTGTATTTCTGTCTTCTCTACAAAGGGTTCAATCCAAGCCAGGTTTATATAACGATAGTTTTTACATTATACTCCCTATTTATTGAAACATAAGGTTACAGGTCAAATGTTAATCTTTTGTTATTAATGATAATAATAGTTATTAGAGGGAATATAGACAAGGCATCAGGTTTCCCTGATATAGTACGTGTTTGTAAATTACTAGTCGTCATAAAAATGTTTATACTCTTAATTTTTATCCTTGCTGTTTTCTACATTCTTTCTTATCAATTTTTTGTTCGGCCATATTTTATCAAATCTATATAATATTACAAGACATTCGTATACATATTTGTTGCCTGCCGAACGGCTGGAGCAATTGGGCTGAACTTTTTTGTAGACACTCGTGGGTGTCAAAGGCTAAAAAAATTTGAAAATATTTTTTTCTTAAAATTTTGTTTTATTTTTTTATTTAAAAAAAATTTATTTCTCAAACTTTTTTTTGTTCTACGGGCATTGCCGGGCCCTTCAGCTACTTTTTATAAATATATAAACGTAACTAAATTTATTTAGGAGGGGGGGGGGGTGATTGGTTTTCAAGTTTAAAAGGAGTGAATAATAACCTGAGGAAGAAAGTGGGGCAGAGCCCCATGTCCCCATCCCTTAACAGATGCCCTTCAAGATACAAAAAGCGTTATTTTTAGAGACCCTTCATGCAAAGATAGCAATTTCCGATTAATAACGATATCCTGGAAACCTTAATCGGATTTAAAAAAATTTATTTCTGAGAATTTTTTTCATTGTTTCTTAGAAGCTAGATGCGCAAGCCACTTTAGAAGAGAAACTACAATCGGAAATAAACGGTTTAAATAAACAAAAACATGGATATATATTTCATATTTGATCATACAACACTTTTAAGGGTACCGTTGTAAATCAGGCTTTGCCATCTTTGCATGGAGGGTCGTCTGAAATTACGCTTACAGTCCCTTTAATCTATATATAAATAAATTTAGCTTGCCTGCCTGTCTGTTTGTTTGTTTGTAACCAATAAACGTCAAAACGGCTTACTGGTCAGGCGCAAATTTTGTGTGGGACCCAACGTGGCCCCAGGGAAGGTTTATGGCCAATCAGACTTTAAATATGTAATCTTAAAATATTATTATCTTAAATTATTTAATTTTGTTTTTGTAAAATTTTACAACTGCGCGAAAAAAATATTGTAATCTGCAAATTTAAAACAAATTTTTTTTTTATACTGTACAAAGAGAAGATGGTACAGATAAGCCACAATTAAAAGTTGAAAAACTGAAAGCCTAGTTATGAATATTTAGCATTAATTTCTCTCTCTCTGGAGTCTGGGACTGTTTTCTCCATAAATCATGTTTGTGTGGATTTTATAGAAATATATAGTTTTAAAATTTCTCCACGCTTCTCTGTAATTTATCATTCTTAGTCAATTTAATCATCCGAAACCAAAATAGAAGCGTAGTCATATATTCATTTATAACAAGTCATAAGATCATTAAAAATCACAATATTATAAACACGAAAAATTTTAAAATGTATAAATATATCAGATGCGTACTCAGAAGAGGGCGATTGGAGCTCACCCCCCCCCCCTGGATCATTAAAATCTAAGGTTTTTTATGGGTTTCAGGTGCCAACGGGTGCTGAGCCCCCCCTCCCCCCACTCCTCCTAGAATTCCTTTATACGCCCCTAAATATATCTATAATCTATATTACCATTTTGTATTCAAATCTCCATCTTTTTTCAAAAAATCTCCATCTTTTTTTTAAAATCTCCATCTTGTTTTTAAATCTCCATCTTGTTTTCAAATCTCCGTCTTGTTTTACAAATCTCCATCTTGTTTTTAAATCTCCATCTTTTTTTAAAATCTCCATCTTGTTTTTAAATCTCCATCGTTTTTCAAATCTTCATCTTGTTTTCAAATCTTCATCTTGTTTAAAATCCTGTTTTTAACTCTTGGTTTAAAATCTCCATATTTTTTTAATCTTGTTTTCAAATCTCCATCTTGTTTTCAAATCTCTATCTTGTTTTCAAATCTCCATCTTGTTTTTAAATCTTCATCTTGTTTTTAAATCTCCATCTTGTTTTTAAATCTCCATCTTGTTTTTAAATCTCCATTTTGTTTTTAAACCTCCATTTTGTTTTTAAATCTCCATCTTGCTATTAAATCTCTCAAGCTTATTTCATACTTTTAATTTAATTACAACTTAAATTAAAGTGTATATAGAGAATAGGTGTGTCCAAGGAGAAAAAAGATGTAGGGGCAGACAGATTGGAGGAGAAGGTATATTGGAGGAGAACAGAGATTG